ACGTTGTATCGTATACACACTTAGACTGCTAAAAACAAGAGTCTCACCACCTCGTGAACATTCCTCGGAATATGCATGACCGCGTTCCTCCGAATGTGAATAAAGATCGCTCCAGCAGCCGGACGCCATATTCCGTCACGCGACCGAGCCCGGGACAGCGCTGAATGCAACCGTCCGGCCAGGCGTGACACGGCACCGCCACTGGCAGTCGCCGGTCACCGAAGCCGGCTGTGAGCTCGAGCGCGCGTGTCGGACGCGCAGCTGAGCTTGTCTGTGCGCACAGGGAGCTCGACGTCTCAGACAGCTGCCGTGCTCCGGCGAGAGGTGCTGGGCCAGCCGTGGCACACCCTGCCCCTGGCCGTGCCCAGCTTCCTGTACACCATCCAGAACAACCTGGTGTTTGTGGCGCTCACCTACCTGGACGCTCCGACATTCCAGGTAAGGGGAGTTGGGTGTACAGATCGTATTGACGTGTGAATTGAGTGCATCATTTTGCTTTCTATCGATTGTCTGGAGCTTAACCTGCATCCAGTTTACTCGTACACCTTCATCCAGTTTACTCGTGAGAACGCCATGATGTCTGAGTCAGGCTGTATCATGCCCTGCAGCAATAGTTTGCCCCCCCCCCCCCCGAGGAAATAGAGTCGTTAGTGGAGTCATGAACACTTACTTTCTTGTATGCGTATTCGTGAAACGGTCAAACAAGCTCTACACCATATGACCAGGGCAACCGACGCACCCTAAAGCTCGAATCACCATCATCATCATCGTCAGGTCAAGCAAGCTCTTGAACTGACCTGATGAACATTCGTCTTGAATGGTCAAACCAGGGTCGTTCTGGGACTGCGATCTCCACATGACTTCATACAGGCGGCACCTTAGGATTACCAGCCGCTAAATGTAAATTTGAAGGCCGCAAACAGCAATGTTGTAATGAAATTGTGGTTGAACACGTCCGGAGAAGTGGTCTATAACTGACGTTGGAAATTCTGGCCACGGGGAGATACCACTTCAAGCGCGCGCGACACACGGGTTTTTGTCCTGGTATGAAGTCACTGCCAGCCTGTGTTCATAAACGTGGATGGGAGACCACATTAGGAACCTTGACCTTGATGTGCTGTGTTGAACTCATGGCCGTATTGTAGTACAAGGTGGTGTCGTAGCCGTAAACCGGGGAGCCATCAAAACGTTCAAAGATTCGTAGCGTCCAGTGCTCATATCATCCAAGAGTCGCAACATCCAAGCGTTCATAGCATTCAGCACCGTCTCCAGTCCTGTGGCCCATAGCGCGTTTATAGCGTCCAAGTGCGCAACATCTAAAGTGTAACATCCAGCGTTTCTAGCATCCAGCTTTCACGACATCCAGGTTAGTTTATGTTCATGCCGCTAGATGGCAGTACAGTAGCACATTTCTTTCGCCTCCTGCTGCGATTTCCCTCTTTTGTGAACGGATGTCATAGTCAACTTGGCATTCCACCGATGGTCACGTGATAGGTACAGTGGGGCGTTATTACTATGAATCACCTGGGCGCCTGGCGGCCATGTCCAGCCCGGGCGCAGTCGCGCCTCGGGGCTCGCCGGCAGACTGAGCGCGGGCGCGCCGGGCGGCGCCGCCGCCGGAGAAGTGTCAGCCGGCGCGGGCTCGGCCGGGGCCGCTGCACCCGCGAGGCAGGCTCTCCCGCCCCGCCGCTGCTACCTGGCCCCATATACACACTCGGTCGCCCAGGGGCCCTTCATATTGGCGTTGGGTTCTTTCCGCTTATTAGGAGGACCTTGCGCTGTTGCTGGAGCCCATGTAAGGTAACGCACCGAAGCATTCGATGCTCAGGGGCTCTCTGCATCGATCAATGGCTCTTTCCCTTTCAGCTCATTTGCTGAAGATCCTTTTATTGTCATAGCCCTCTCTGTTAACCTGCCGGGGCACCCTTGATCACGCAGGGGCATTCATTCGTGTACACTGGTCCTGGTTATTCTCCCTTTTCTCAGAGGATCCTGTGCTCTGGCCGGACCTTTTATGTTAGCCTGCGGGGGACTCCCGATCATTCAGGGTCTCCACCGTCTTGGTGTTACATTCTCGCTTGCTATGAGTACCCTTCACTGTTGACGGAAGCCTCTTTGTTGGCCTGCCGCTGCAGCTTCGATTGCTCAGGTGCCATCCCTATTGGCCTTGGATTTTCCTAGATTACAGGAGGACCCACTCCGCTGAGAGGTACAAAATCTTGATGACTTTAATCGGGCTTGACGTCTTACCGACTGCTGAATGAATTTGCGCCGGATGCCCATTACGCCGAGGAGCATGTACGTGTGTTTGTCGAACGCAGTTCTACGCGCCGTCGACGTCACACATATGATTTTCGTGGGTTATTGAGTTTTTGACGGTTCTTATACTTGAACATTACGTTTAATACATTTAAATGCCATGATATGTTCACTTCTTTGCAATATCCAGAGCAAAAACTCTGCATTAGTCATCAGCTATCAGCTGATCAGCTATCAGCTGATGACATCAACTAGCCGGCTAGCCGTATATGATCTAGGAATCAAATTTGCGCTTCCTTTTGATGGTGTTTTTGCAGTTGATTTCAGTGCATTTTGCCATCTTTTCTCTGAAATACTTAACCCCAAAATGACATGACCCACCATGATCGTAAGAAAATTAACAAGGTCCATGTATTTGCGCACGTTGCACGCCTGGTTTTCTAGTGCGCCGCAAAGTAAGACAGATTCCTGCATACAAGTTGCAAATATAGGTATTGTGAAACCTCTGGAAAATAAAAGCCATTATGTCCGGTGATGAAGTTTGCTGGTACTCCCTTGTGGAACAGGCTGATTCAGGATTTCGCCGCGGAAAAGGCACACCTATTGTGGTGGCTATGGATTTTGATCTCTTTTTAAAACCAAAGCCTTGGGAGGTTTAAGTGGCCCACTTCGACAAAGGGTCTCTTTAAAAGAACGGGCATGGTGCCCTGAGAAGAGAGGAAGGGGTCAATCCAGGATTTTTTTCAGGGTGGGAGGCGCAACACTACTGTGTCTCTGAAATTTGGTGCCGTTGGAGAACGAAGGTTTTGGGGCCGGTTATTGTGTCCTGGGTTTCAGTACCTCTCGAAAATGAATATGGGTGGTTTGTTGTGGTGTCCCTAAAATTTTGGTTTTTTGAAAATAAAGGATACGTGAATCCGAAATGAGGATTTCGGTTCCCCTTCACCATGATACTTTGTTGTCCCTCGCCCCAAGGGGCGGGGAGCAACGAGCCATTCCCCGCACTCCCCCCCCCCCCCCCGCCACCCCACCACTCTGGTTCCGTCATTGGTTGAGGTCGGTTGATAAGACACGCCTCCCCGCCTCAATGCGTAGCTCGTTATTTTTCTCGATTTATCATTCGGCTCCATGCGTAGGCCCCAGTTATGTCGCTTTTTCGCGTGGGTCTGAGTATATACCGTGTTGTGTTTATGACCGCAAAGTCCCATTCAGTGTTCCGAAAAGTGTTATTTGTGCATGTCATGTAGGCTGGCACCATCCTTCGCACGAGACATGCGTGTACTTGGCCATGCTGCCTCTAAACTTACCCCACCCAGGCTCTAAGCGCATGTTTCCTTCAAGTCAACAGATACCGACCAATAGCTCATGTACGCACGCGAACGGATACGCACGCCGTGTTGCTACATACGGTCCGCTGCTAGACGCCTATTTTCTTCTCTGTCGCGTCTCCCGTTTCAAGGGCATTTACAATAAGCACCGCAAAAAGTACTCTTTGCTGCTCTTACCCTGAGCGCACGGTGTACCTACCTCCGTCACCAAAGGCCTAGCAAAACGTTGAAGCAAACCGTACATCTTAAAAGGCTATTGTTATCACATCCATATTATATATATACCTGTACCATGGGTATATTTCCTTCGGTATTATGCGAAGTCGGGTTCATGGCAGTCTGGCACGCAGTTACGCCCATCGGTTGCCCTGGCGGATCTCCTGATCGTTCGCGCCATTTTCGTTAGCGCCAGCCAGCCCGTCGTCAAGCGTGTGTTGTCTAGAGCATGGATGAAAATGTTCTAACTGGTCGGGTCGGGAAGGTTCTTGCTTTGAGTTTCTCAAGCGCCGTAATCGTCCACCGCCGGACCACAGACAGACCACGAGTTGTCGCGTGGGACTTGGTTTTTGGAGGCGGGGTCAGTGTGAGGTCAAGCAAAAAGCCAGTAGATGTGGAAGGAGCCAAACATCGTCTCACACTGTTGCAATTATCAGCAAAATAAGGATTATCTTTCCACGAAACACCATGCCGATATCCAATGCAGCAATAGCATAACGCGCAAAACACAGCGAGAGTAGGTGCTTACATATGCGTAGGACAATACACTTACACGTACACCATCAACCACATTTCTGGGCATTGCATTATATGACCTCGCACATTCGCTCGCAAATTTCTGGGTTACACATATCTCCCATCATGTAACTCCGTTCATAACTCGACCAGATATGACGTAGGCTGGAAAAACGCGAGAAGAAACAAACGCACAGTATGCTGTTATCTCAACCAGGACATGCATCAGAGAAAACCTGCCTCCGCTTGAAGTGGCGGGACCTGCCGCCACCCTGCTACGTACTGGCGACGTGTCCACTAAATACCTGCCATAACATAACACGCTAACGTTTGTCGCGGTGTTGCTATGTGCGGACGGCTGCTAGTCACCGAACACCTGCACTATTGCGTCTCCCGTTTCAAGAGCATTTGTTGCATGCAGCACGCACACTGGGCTTGCCGTAAGCCCTCTGTATGCTCCTGCATACAGTACCAAAGAACTAACGAAGCGATGAAAGGAGCTGAGCATATTTGAAACTATCATGATCATTTCCACATTGCATACCCCTTTCTTTCTCATATTTCCCGCGGTCTCATGCGTGCACTGCAGCTTGTCTGACGCGGTAACAGGGATCGTTAGCCTTGGTCGATCACGGGATAATAGGGTCGATGGGCTAATCGTTCGGCCTATTTTCATTCCCGCCAACCTGCCTGTCGCCAAGCGCGTGCGAATGGTCTGGCGCGTCAATGAAAAAGCTGTATTTGCTCGAACGAGGAAAGTTTGTCGAGCATCGGATCCTCTCGGCACCAGCCCACGGACAGATCACAACTTGTTGAGAGGGGGTTGGTCTTAAACGACGGGCTCAGCGTGAGGTCGAGCCAGGAGCAAGCAAATATGGAAGGAAGCAAACAGTGTTTTGCCTGTATTGCCCCGTCATGGCTTCAGTTAATATTTATAGCAAAACGGTGATTTTCGTTTCACAAGAGTTGTCGCCAATACCCGGCTTGCCAATAGCATGACGTCTAACATTCGCCATGATAGGTGGCGATTATGGCACGTGTTTTGGCATGAAAACGTGTGCCTAGATTTTCGGGTTTCGGAGCAGCGGCAGTCTGTGATAAACACTCCACGGCGGTCTACGGCTGGCTGGGGCGACGGGCGGCAGCAGAATTGTACTACAGAATGTGCTCAGGATCGAACTAGACACGCGCCAATTTAAGATTCGTGTCGCCAAAAGGCATGGTCTCGTAAAGCTAAAAACTGCGGTTTTCAGGAAAATTCTACTTCTGGCCTGCCAACAACGTGAAAGCTAGTACCAATTGTGAGATCGTGTTCAGAATAATATGATTGTGTTCTCGGCTAAGCTACTTATTTATTAGTTTGGCAACGCCAGGGGAAGGGTCGCATTAACCCCTTGTCCGCCTTTCAGTCCGAGGCATGCAAAACGGTAAATCAGCACTAGAGTTAAAAAATGCAGCGAGCATAGGGATTTACGCATACACAGCACACACACATACAGAATGGATATTACTGTCAGCCACATATTTTCTGAGCGTACCATAACATGAATCCACACTTTTGCGCTCCGTTCTGTGGGTGCCAAAGCTCTCCCGTTATATCGCCCCGATCATAACTCGGCCAGATGTTATGTAGGCTAGAAAATCTTCACAAGAAATAGAAAATTACACGATATGCTGTCATCTTCAGCGAAACGTGCATCTAAAAACTTGTCGTCAATCGCGAGTACATATATATATATATATATATATATAATATATATATATATATATATATATATATGCATGTAAGTATTGGGTATGTGAGTATTTTCGAGATATGATTATTTTTGAAAATGTATTGGTATTGCCCTGCCATGAGGCTGTCTTAAGTGAACGAGGACACGCACGGAAGCTAATTTCCTACAACAAATCCGATCGCCTTAAGACACAAAAGCCCTTTGTCTTAAGTGAGTTCTGGACCACTGCTTGGTGCGAAATCTGATGCGTGCATTAGCCGCATGCCCAGTGATAAGCAAATGTAAGGATACATGCATATATATATATATATATATATATATATATATATATATTCCACGACCACCGTGCAGCTTCTGCCAAGTAGCCACCTATCTTCCATGCCACGAGCCAGAGACTCAAGTTTTGAATTCTTTAATACGCCTGCTGCCAAGACGTGCTGACGCTGCAAAGTTTGCGTGCATAAACAAAACGCTGTCCATGTCCATGCTCAGTGGTTTAAACTGGGCTGCACTGTACCCTACGCCGTTACTCGTCGACATAGACGAGCGAATTTGGTAACGATAGCGATCTAAAGGGCAACATCCAAATCAATACGTTAAGGATTGCGAGGAAGTGGTACAGTATCCCACCCCCTGGATCTCACGCAAACTGGATATTTTGAGCGCTAGTTATGAACTTTTAAGGCTGTGCGCTTGAATGTTCTGTTTGTCCTCTGTCCAGGGACATTGAACAATTCTGGATGTTGTGAACTCTGGATGCTGCGATTCTGGACGTTCTGGCCATTGGACGTTATGAGCTCTGAATGTTTTAATTCACATCCTTTCAACAATGTATCTGCTTATGCCTAAAACTTATCTCTTGATATTGGAACCAGTTAGTTTAGATTTGACTACGTTTAGGGTATCTTTCAAGTACGATGTCATGAACGATGACGACACCCGGATGGCATTGACATATGTTGCTATGCATTGTGTAAGCCCGTGGGTCCCAGCCGTTGACTCTGTATGACCCGTTTACTGCATGCATATCTAGCCAAAGCACAAGCCCGCTGTACGGGGTAGGTCATAAATTACGTTCCCCATTTTTGACATATTTTCAACGTCTTCACCCTGGCTACGCACTGGTCACTAGGCGGCTTCCCTTCCCGCGAGTCGCGCTGTGTTAAGGATAACGTCTCAAGAGGATGACGTCTGTCCACCCCTAGTTGAGCTACGGGTGATAAACAAAAAGCTACGTGTTGCTTGTCATGAGAGGCGGGTAACGTTATTTACCCTTCTTAGCATGATTACCAAAACGCATCAAACGTAATGGTCTCATCAAAACTTCAAAACTCCCCCCTGTTACATTTACGTAGCGTGTAACTTCAGAGCCTCACTCCCCTCCCGCCCCCTTCTCCATGCGTAACCTAAGTTATGCATGGTATCCTATTGGGTGAACAAGAGGTCGAATGCCTGCAGCGTCCATCGGCGCGAGCCGATGGCTGGGCGGTTGGACAGATGTTCCCAACCGTTCGACTGATGTTTCCTTGTGGGGACTGATGTCGCTGACTGGCCGCCCTGCCAGGTGTCGTACCAGCTCAAGATCCTGGTGACAGCCCTGATGTCGTCGGTGATGCTGAAGCGGCGCGTGCGACCGCTGCAGTGGCTGGCGTTGCTGACGCTGGTGGTCGGTGTTTGTCTTGTGCAGGTGAGCCAGGTGCTCCCATGCAGATGAGCCGGGAGCTCTCGTGCGGATGAGCCAGGAGCCCTCGTGCACATGTGCCAGGGGTTCGCATGCAGGTGTGCCAGGCGCTCACATGCAGGTGTGCGAGGAGCTCTCGTGCATATGTGCGAGGAGTTCTCTTGCGGATGAACGATGAGCTGTGGTGCACATGTGCCAGGAGCTCGCATGCAGATGCGAGGAGCTCTCGTGCAGATGTGCCAGCAGTTCTCGTGCGGATGAGCCAGGAGTTCCCGTGCAGATGTGCCAGGACCTCTCATGCCGATAAGCGAGGAGCTCTCGTGCAGATGTGCCAGGAGCTTTCATGCAGATGTGCCAGGGGCTCTCATGCAGATGCGCCAGCTCTCGTGCAGGTGCGCCAAAAGATATCATGTAGACGTGGCGGGAGCTCACATGTAGTTGTGCCAGGGGCTCTCATGCAGATGTCTCATGTAGGCGGCTTTTTGTCAAGACAAGGTGCGTTTTAAAATTATGTAAAGCTCACGTTGTCATTTCGGGTTTCACCACGCACTCGCTCCTCTATCACCTTTGCCGGCGTTACGGATGGTCAGCCGTCCGGGGTCATGCTAATGACCCACTGAATTGCATCCTAGCCCGCTGCACGGTTCAGCCATTCGTAGTCGTAGAAAACGCCTGTTTGTAAGTAGATACGGTATGATATACATACTTAAGCCTGGTTATTCTTTCCAAACCGATCTGGTGGCCGATCTGTATCATCCAATGCGCGTCTATGACTGACAAAGGATCTCTCCGACAGATGTTATATATATATATATATATATATATATATATATATATATATATATATATCTGTGTGTGTGTGTGTGTGTGCGTGTGTGTGTGTGTGTGTGTGTGTGTGTGTGTGTGTGTGTGTGTGTGTTGTGGTGTGTGTGTGTGTGTGTGTGTGTGTGTGTGTGTGTGTGTGTGTGTGTGTGTGTGTGTGTGTGTGTGTGGTGTGTGTGTGTGTGTGTGTGTGCGCGTGCGTGCGTGCGTGCGTGCGTGCGTGCGTGCGTGCGTGCGTGCGTGCGTGATAAACATGATAGTAGTGACACAATAATTGCAGCCTCGTTATCGTCAGAAATTGTTATCGTACCAACAATGCGGCCCTGACGCCACACGCGGTGTGCCCGTCAGCTGGACCGAGCGGATGGCGCAGCGGCTTCGCCCCGCGGCCCCAACAACTACCCGCTTGGTCTGCTGGCAGTGCTGACGCTCTGTTTGTCAAGTGGATACGCCGGCGTCTACTTTGAGCGTCTGCTGAAGCAGGGCGGTCAGCAGCCGCTTTCCGTCCGCAACGTGCAGCTGGGTGAGTGGCCTGCGCCGGCAGTTTGCCTTCCCTGCATGTGCTCTCGGTTTGTTTCGTTGTATTGATCCCCTCTGCGTTCTTTCCTGACGGTTTCTTGGTCAGTTGTAATGCGTGAGCCTTCTTTATTCAGTTGTATGTGTTTGCTTTGTGCTTCCTGCATGAGTCGCTTCGCAACGTTGTTTTGCCCTCTGCCGGGTGTTCTGTACGCTCGCGTTCGTCGACCACACCTGGTGTGCGCGTTGCGCTCCGTTTGGCGCTGTTAGCGCGTCCCCGCAGGTAGTAGCACACGTCTCCGCTGGCAGCCGTGTTTTCGCTGCCCTTCGGCGCGTCTGATGATTGGCCCCGCTGGCAGCCGTGTGCTCGGTGCCGTTCAGCGCGGCTAATGTGTGGCCCCGCTGGCAGCCGTGTTCTCGGTGCCGTTCAGCGCGGCTTAAGTGCGACCCCGCTGACAGCCGTGTTCTCGGTGCCGTTCAGCGCGGCTAATGTGCGACCCCGCTGGTAGCCGTGTTCTCGGTGCCGTTCAGCGCGGCTAAAGTGCGACCCCGCTGACAGCCGTGTTCTCGGTGCCGTTCAGCGCGACTGACGTGCAGTCCCGCTGGCAACCGTGTTCTCACTGCCCTTCGGCGCGGCTAATGTGCGGCCCCGCTGGCAGCCGTGTTCTCGGTGCCGTTCAGCGCGACTAACGCGCAGTCCCGCTGGCAGCCGTGTTCTCGGTGCCGTTCAGCGCGACTAACGCGCTGTCCCGCTGGCAGCCGTGTTCTCGGTGCCGTTCAGCGCGACTAACGCGCAGTCCCGCTGGCAGCCGTGTTCTCGGTGCCATTCAGCGCGGCGGCGGTGGTGCTGAACGATGGCGCCGCCATCGCCAGGCTCGGCTTCTTCTGCGGCTATACGCGGTACACTTGGACGGTGGTGGTGTTGCAGGTGAGCTCAGCGCCAGCCGATGGCTCCGGTCAGCTCTCTGTATGGGCGCCATATGACCAACGTAGTCGGTACGCCCCAAAGCACAAATCATCATCATCATCATCGGTCAGCTCTCTGTGATGTCTAGCGGACGGGGCGGCTCGCGCCGTCTGACACCTTGGCGAGCTGGCGTGTGGGTGGTGACGACAGCATACCGCGATCATTGCATTTGTCAGTCAGCGCGTTACGAATGGAGTTCGGCGGTGTCGGTGATCTGGCTTCAAATAAAAACAAAGTTTGCCCGTTCACACCGCAGCTTCGTTGCTGCGTACATTCTGCACGAAATATGTACATTAGTGACGTCCTGGTACTCAGACATTGCTCGTGATTCCTGTTCGGCTGATTATTTCGTGAAGCCATTGCTGTGGCCGATCACATGACGCGCAGATGCTTGGTTCGGCCATTATGTCTGGGTCAGAGCTGAAGCTTCTCGACGGCGTGTCGGGTGTTTTGGCCGCCTGAGGCTCGACTCCACACGTTCGGTGACGGCTCGCGGTCGGCTGCTGCTCCGCAGGCGCTGGGCGGCCTGGCCGTCTCCGCCACCGTCAAGTACGCCGACAACATCCTCAAGGGCTTCGCCACCTCGATCTCGATCGTGCTGTCCGCGCTGTTCTCGTGGGCGTACCTGGGGGATGTGCGCCTGAGCGCGCTGTTCGGGGTGGGAGCGCTGCTGGTGGTGGCCGCCACCTTCCTGTACGGCTACAGCCCGCCGCCGCCGCGCTCCAAGGTAGAGTAGCGCCGCAGCCAACGCCTGCGCCCGGCGCCGGAGGCTGCCGTCACCAGCGCCGCAGCCACCGTCTACTCCCGGCGCTGGAGGCTTCCGTCACCAGCGCCGCAGCCAACGCCTGCGCCCGGCGCCGGAGGCTGCCGTCACCAGCGCCGCAGCCACCGTCTACTCCCGGCGCTGGAGGCTTCCGTCACCAGCGCCGCAGCCACCACCTGCGCCCAGCGCCGGAGGCTGCCGTCACCAGCGCCGCAGCCACCGGCGCCAGAGGCTTCAGTCTCCAGCGCCGCAACCGATCCAGGGGTATCTGTGCCAACGCGATTGTTTTAGTATAAGGTAGACTTCTGCTCTTGTGTCCGCCTGTGGTGTGCAGGGTGTGGAGGGAAGGACTGTGGCCGCCGTGTATCAACGACCAGTGTTTGAATTACAGCAGAGAGCTCAGAAGCAGAACTTGCCGATTTTTGTTTTGCATCATGTAGTCATCCCTCTTACAATGCCAGTTCTACGATTTGATTTCTAGTGCTCGCCGGCTTCGATGATTTCACCACATTTGACAACGTAAGTGAGTGCCGTCTCCGATCTACTGGGGGAAGGGGGAGGGGGCTGTCGTGTGGGAGCCTCCAACTTATGAGAAACGGACGGTGGTCCTGTTTTCAGTTTACTCTCGCTACATAGGGTATTTAAAGTTTCTTTTGATGGTCGAATCTGAGGATAGGACGGAGGACTGTGATACTGAGGCCAGCTGGTGACCAGGCCAGCGCTGTCGTCCCTTACCGGACCCGGGCCGCGTTACCCCCTGACCGCGGCCGCAGATACAGGTGTCTCTTCGACGTCCTGGCCGCGGTCAGGTGTCCCTTTGACCTCCTGGCTGCGGCCAGTTGCCGGTCTGACCTGACTGCGGCCAGACTCGGTGCCGGTTTGAGCGGGAGCGGCGCTGGCCGCCAATATCGTGAGTAGCCGTGCCGCGCGCTGTGTCCCGTGCTGTCGTGCGGCGTGTCCGCGAGTGTACGCCCGCCCTCGCGCTGTCGTAGTCCTCCCCCTCCCCCCCCCCCCCCCCCCCCCCCCCCCCCCCCCCGGCCCCCTCCCCTGCCTCCGCCGACGGCCGACCATGCGTCGAGGGATGGCCAGCCGGCCGCCGATGGGCACGGACCCGGGCCCGAGGCAGCTCGCGCTTTCGGATTGAACCAGTCTGGACGGGTACAAATCAAACACGGGTGGGCGCTTGCCTCTCGTATTATCAGGGACGTCTGATGTCCTGGTATACCAGTATGTAGGTGACTCGAGGAGCGAAGCCGCGCTGATCACTCCTGGAGCATTGCGGCTCGTAGTTTTCGGGTCGGTGCGTTGACAGGACGTGAAGAGTACGGTGATATGGATGTTTCTCTGGATAGATTATTTTGGGTTTAGCTGAGCCGGTTTTTTGCCTGAACTCAAATGACACAAGAGGCTAGATCTTACATTGCAAGAAAGATGTGCACGCGCTGTCATAGTGTTTCCGAAACTTCAGATTCACTGTTTCGCCGGAAAGTTTACACATGAGGATATCTGGTGACTGTAAGTAACAAAGAACATAAGTTATCTGCAGTTTGTAAACAAGCAGTCTACCTGTAAACTTTTATGGACATTGATATGGCTGATGGCTCTTTCAGCTCTCCGTATCTGAGCCGAATTGGCAAATCTTTCCATAGCAAAAAAACGCTGTTTCATCACATGATTCAGGTCTACAGCCATGTAACTTAGTCAGCTTCATTTACGCGATGAGCACCACTTGCAAACATACCTGGCACAGAGCACGCGTCGCTGCGCCCTCTGTAAAAACAGTAATGGCTACCCAATCGCTTCTGACCTGAAAGTAATGTATTCGTGCGCAGAATTCGTCACGGTTTTTCCTGTCAGGATTTTGCTGGCGTCCCATTGAAGCAGTGATGTCACATTAAGAGGGCTTTAACCTGCCCAAAATTAGCTTATCCACCATGCAAAAAGCTTCGGAGTATTGTCCTGATCCGTTTTTTTTTTGCCGTAATTTTTGTTGATTCGTGTCAGTGCTTGTTATTTTTTATTAGTGCGATTCTTTGTCAGTGCTTGTTATTTTTTATTATTACGGCTTTCTCTCATAACTGATGTGGTGCGTTTATGTTTGCTAGAAGTCGTTTTATGCGCAGCAGCAGTTTTACGCCGTTTGGGCTGGCACGGCCGCCATGCGACGGCCGCTGGTAACCTCTGAGGCCGTGTTTACCTCAGAGTGCTGTTTAATTTTGACGGCATTTTAGTGCCCTCTCTCGACGTAGCCGCTGCCGGGCGACATGACCCGTTTCGTGTCGCCGAACACGTAAGGTTCACACTCAGCCTTCAACAACACTGCCAGGCATTAAGCCCACACTCTATCGGCCTTAAGCCACACTTGATCGCACTCACTTCCACCAAAACACGATCACCAATACCAAACACCCAACATGCCGCCAGAGTCCCCATCCCCATCGCGCTGCGATCCGGGACCCACCCTCGCCGTGGGGCCCGCGCTCCCCCGTCGTCCGAGCTGCCGGACGGGCCATCCCTTCTTTTGATAAAAAATAGGGACGGAAAAATTTCGGCTCCCTCAATCCTCAGTCAACGTAAAAGTCGCACAACTTGACCTCACTCTCCTCTCTCTTTATCTATCCCCAGCTAATCCCCTCACTGCCACCCAGCTCTCTGACCTCTTCACTTAAATCCCGTCCCCTTGCCTGATCTTGGGCGATGTTAATGCCCACCACCGAGCGTAGGGGTGCCAATCAACACAACCACGCGGCATCATGTTCCACACACTACTGCACACTCATGACCTCTTATACCCCAACAGTGAAACACCTACACACATACAACACCGAGGGGTAGCTGTTAGTTACTCCGTGATTGACCTGGCTCTCTCAACACCACGAATCGCGCCACACTTCACAAACGACGTACAGACAGATCCGCTGTTCAGTGACCATTATCCAATTCACCTCGAATTAGAAGTCCCCTCAGGACAGGCGGATTTCCATTTCCTCCCTCGATGGAACCTCCGCAAACCGGACTGGACCACATTTCGAGATGATATAGACGTGGCTCACGCTCCTGAGTCGACCCCCAACCTTATTGAATTGTTGAATAGTTTTTTTGCCTCAGCACACCAGTCTGTTCCACACACTCATCGTCGACCCGGGGACAAACACGCGCCCTGGTGGAGCGGTGAGTGTCAGCGCGCAGTGGCCCTGCGACGCCGGGCCGTGCGTGCTTTTGGCAAATGTATTTGCACAGTCCACGAGGAGGAAGCTTGTAGGGCTCGACATCAAGCTAACGTAATAATAAAACAAGCAAGAAAGGAAAGCTGGGAAAATTTCGCCACCACTTTTAACCGATACATCCCCCTGTCAAAAATATGGTCGCTAATACGAAGCTTCACCACTAAACGCACATCCCACTACAAAATCCCTCACCTCGTAGTCAACGACCAGCACTGTGAGGTGCCATTTGAGGTCGCCACGCAATTTGCAGTACACTACGCCCGCGTTTCATCGTCCGATCAATACTCCCATCAGCGCACGAACTCGCTCAACATCACACTCCATGCGCTCGACCTTACCACTGACAACACCGAACACTATAACGCCCTCTTCACTCCGTACGAACTGAGGCTAACCCTCAGCAAGTGCGGCAACACCTCGATCGGTCCTGACAAGATCGCTTATGTTTTTTTTCAGAAAGCTGTCTGAGTCTGGACTGCTAAATCTTCTCTATGCGTTTAACGATATTTGGATTAATGAAACTTTTCCTGCTACTTGGCGCTCCAGCACACTTATCCTGATACTAAAACCTCGCAAACCTCCGTCTGATCCTACGAGCTATCACCCTATCTCTGTCAGGCTGCGCATCGAAATTATTTGAAAGAATGGTCACCGCTCGAATCAGGGTCTACTTAGATTCCCACAATCTTATCTCCCCTTACCAAAACGGCTTCCGCCCTGGCCGCTCCACGGCGGGCAGCCTCGTCCAACTTGTTGATTCAGTCCAACGCGGCTTCCAACAAGGACTAGTTACGGTCACACTATTTTTGGGCCTCAAAGCCGCATTTGATAAAGTGAATAAGACTGCCCTTCTGACAAAGCTGCACAGGACAGGAGTCCGTGTCCGACTCGCCAAATTTTTGCAAAACTTCTAAGCAGCCGGGGAAAAAAACATTTTAGTGCCTGGCACCGCAGCCGAAAAAAATGGGTAAAACTGACAGAATGTTCGGTGTCCGGCTACGAGTCGTCACCACAGCGATCCTTGATGACCTCTGGCGTCGCTACGATTCACCACCGTTAACTTTCTAACGCCATCCCACCTATTGAACTTTGCTACACGAGGAACATGGAGGCAGCCACGGTCTGTCTCATTCCTTCTCTCTCCCTCCCTCTTTCTCTCTGTCCCTCCCCCCCCCCCCCCCCCCCCCCCCCCCCCCCCCCCCCCCCCCCCCCCCCTCTCTCTCCCTCTCTCCCTCCTCTCTCTCTCTCTCTCCTCTCCTATTCTCTTCTCTCTTCTCTCTCTCTCTCTCTCTCTCTCTCTCTCTTCTCTCTCTCTCTCTCTCCTCTCTCTTCTCTCTCTCTCTCTCTTCTCTCTCTCTCTCTCCTCTTCTTCTCTCTTCTCTCTCTCTCTCTCTCTCTCTCTTCCTCTTCTATCTCTCTCTTCTCTCTCTCTCTCTCTCTCTCTCTCTCTCTCTCTCTCTCTCTCTCTCTCTCCTCTCTCTCTCTCTCTCTCTTCTCTCTTCTCTTCTTTCTTCTTCTTCTTTCTTTCTTCTTTCTTTCTTTTTTCCTCCCTCCTTCCCTTCACTTCCTCTCTTCTCCTTTATCTTCCCCTCCCTTTGCCCGCTTCGCTTCACCCCCCTGTCCCTCGCCGTTCTCCCCATCTTTCTTTTACTGACTCTTGTTTGCCTGTTCCGCACTTTCTCGTCATTTACTGCTCTCTACAGTACGCCGTGCGGCGGATGTGGCCGCGCGGCTCCGCCCGGACCGGGCTCGTCGCTCCACTTATTGTTGACAGTCGGCGGATTTGTTACTCTCTGGAGCCC